GGGGCCGCGAACGTCCTCAGCAGCCTGCACCGGGGGTGGGGATGGATTCATTCCAGCCGCGCGCACAACCAGGGCCCTGCCTCGAGCGCCCCAGAGAGCAAGGGCCCTGCCTCAAATGCCGCAGATTTTAAGCCCTTCCTGGACTTGCTGCCTTCCACCATCAGCCTCCCAAATACACCTGCAGCTGGCCCGACGACCCCAGCCCAGGCCCCCCGGTGCAGGAGACCTACCGCAGTCTGCCTCGTCGGAGCCCCAGCCGCGCGCACAACCAGGGCCCTGCCTCGAGCGCCCCAGAGAGCAAGGGCCCTGCCTCAAATGCCGCAGATTTTAAGCCCTTCCTGGACTTGCTGCCTTCCACCATCAGCCTCCCAAATACACCTGCAGCTGGCCCGACGACCCCAGCCCAGGCCCCCCGGTGCAGGAGACCTACCGCAGTCTGCCTCGTCGGAGCCATCGGCGCAGTCGGCTTGGCCATCGCACTCCGGATTGTTGTGACAGACAAACACGTTCCCTGGGCACCTGCCTGAGGAGAAAGGGGGGGAGTTAACAGGGCTCCTCCACAGGACCAGCCGTCCAGAGCCCCCCGCCAGCCTGGGGCCTCCCCTGCAGGGCCTGTCTCTCGGGTACGACAGAGCGAACCCTGCAGCATCCCCGGATGGCGGGTGAGAAACGCCAGGGCTGGCGCCTTGTGGAGAATGGAGAGGACGCATCTCTGGGCAAAATGGCAGCCCGTCCCCATTGATAATGGCAGCAGGAGCAAAGCCCGTCCCCAGCTCTTCCCGAGCGCCACAGGAGACAGGGAGCCGCTGCTCCAGCGGGGCTGTCCGAGGCTGAGCGCCTGCTGTGCCTCCAGGTGCCAGTCTGTGCCCAGCCCCCCAGAGCCACCTCATCCTCCGGGAAAGTTCAGCTCCAGACCCGGAGCAGGACGGGCACATTGGCATGGAACAGGAGCTGGGGCCGGGCTCTCTTGGCGCAGAGAGGCACCCTGCAGGGCGGCTGGTACGCGAGAGGGGGAGGCATTGCCTTCCCAAATTGCCAGCCTCGCCCCTCCCAGACTCCGCCCCCGGAGCACCTGCTGTAGGTGTATTGGGGGTGGAGTCCCCGAGCATCTGCTCTCCCCGTGCTCCCAGCCCTCCCCCGGTGCTGGGCGAGGGGCTTGGCTCCCGTGTGGGGGTGGGGCAGAGCTTTCCCAGCCCTGACTCCCCCCACTGCCAATGCAGAAGAAAGTCGCAGCATCGATGCGCTTCAGCGCTCCCACCTCCAGAGCAGCAGGGAGCCCTGCCTGTGTGCGGGGCTGGATCTGCCAGGGCTAGCCACGGGGGTCTGCTGGGGAGGGGGCTGGCCTGGCACCGAGGCAGGGAGAGCTCGTACCTGATTTCAATTCGAGTCCGTAGGGAGCTGGCCTGCTGGGCCCTGTAACATAAGGGAGATGGGCAGTGTGAGAGGATCGGTAGTTCTAGGGCCGCTGGGCCAGACACAGCAGGCAGGGTTGAGGGGCTCGTCCTTTCAGCTCTCACATGTAGCCGGGGACCTCCAGCCCTGTGACTGTCTGAGCCTCCCCAGCTGCAGCTAAAGAAGCAGGTGCGGCCACTGGCAGCTGTAACAGACCCCGTCCCAGTGGATCAGACAAGGGGGACTCAACATTGAGCTAGGGGGAGAGGTAGATACGCTGGAGGGCAGAGTGACCTGGACAGATTAGAGGATTGGGCCAAAAGAAATCTGATGAGGTTCAACAAGGACGAGTGCAGAGTCCTGCCCTTGGGACGGAAGAATCCCAAGCATTGGTACAGGCTGGGGACCGACTGGCTGGGTAGCAATTAGGCAGAAAAGGACCTGGGGGTTACAGTGGATGAGAAGCTGGATAGGAGTCAACAGGGCGCTTGTAGCCAAGAAGGCAAATGGAATATTGGGCTGCGTTAGGAGGGGCATTGCCAGCAGATCCAGAGAAGTGATTATTCCCTTTTATTCGGCTCTGGTGAGGCCACATCTGGAGTATTGTGTCCAGTTCTGGGCCCCCACTATAGAAGGGACGTGGATGCATTGGAGAGGGTCCAGCGAAGGGAACCAAAATGATGAGGGGGCTGGGACACATGGCCTACGAGGAGCGGCTGAGGGATTTGGGTCTGTTCAGTCTGCAACTGCACCCGTGGATTCCCCCAAACCGGAGGGATCTTAGGGCTCTTTGACCAGCACTGTGGCCCCTTTGCATCGCGGGAGAAGGGCTGGAGCAGAGCGCAGGTCACTGGTTTCAAAGGTCTCAGCCATGTCAAGGCAGGAGCATTATAAACAGCTTTGTAAACCCCAGGACTGTGGGGGTGTTGCAGTGGGGGAGGTCTAGCTTGGATATTAGGAAACACTATGTCCCTAGGAGGGTGGGGAAGCACTGGGAGGGGTTCCCGGCGGGGGGGGGGGTATCTCCATCCCTAGAGGGTTTTAAGTCCCAGCTTGACCCAGCCCTGGCTGGGATGGTTGGGTTGGGTTGGGGTTGGCCCTGCTTTGGGCAGGGGTTGGACTCGATGGTTCCTGAGGTCTCTTCCAGCCCTGGGGTCCCATGAACACACATTGAGCCACCAACTCTCCAGAGCAGCGCTGAGGGACTCGGAGGAGTCCAGTGACTCCCCTGGGCTATTCACTGGTGAGTAACAGTCCAGGGCTAACGCTTCTCAGCCCCAAGCTTTGTGTGTGTGTGTGTGTGGGGGGGGGATCCAGCACTGATGGCCGCTGAGCAAAGCCACGTGTGCTTCAGCATGCCCCGTGCTTTCCTCCTCCAGCACCCCCAGGCCTGCGTGGGCAGCAGCAGGCGAGCAGTGAAATATCCGCTAAGTATCTCCCAGGAGGCTGGAGGGCAGCTGCAGCTGGGGGACATGGCGCCCCCGGAAAGCTCCTGGTACCATCTGTACTTTTGTCAGTCTAAGCGCTGGAGGACGACTCGCTGGTTTACATTGGGCGTATTACGCTTGGCCACTAGGTGGTCCTATGGGCAACACCAAACTCGGTGCCTACAGAGCACAAGGGACATGGCCCCTGGCTCGTCAAGACAGCGCCAGCCTCTCCTTGTGCTGCGTCTGGGGCGTTTCTACAGGGCGACATAACGGGGCTTTAAATGCCAACCTGAGAGCGAGCGAAAGCCCGAAGGGGATTGGTCTAATCCAGGAAAAGGTCCGTGGCTTTGCTAAGTGCAGCCCTTGCTCCGGTTACTTCTCTCTGGCGCCAGGCCCCTGCCGGGGAGGGCCTGCCGTGCTTTTTGGCCGGGACAGAAGATGTTCACCTGTGAGAGAGGCCGAGGCGATGGTCCCATAGCTGGCCAGGGGGATGCCCTGCTCCCTCAGTGCTGCAGCCAGCCCGTGTCTGAGGGCCTCTTCCTCCACACTGGGGCTCAGAGACCAGGCAGCAGAGGGGCTGAAACGCAGGCGGGACCCGCAGAAGCCACTGCATGTCC